CTAATTTATAATATAAAATATAATATACCTGTAGATCTAGAAATACATAAATACATGCCTTTGGCCTTGCTCAAAATAAATTTACAAAAAAAACTATTAAAATTTAAACTTCAGGACCCCTCATTTACAAAGGCCCTTCCAAGGCCTCTGTCTAACTATACTTACAATTTTGTATTCTTCTCCTTAAAGACACTCCTTCAAAATATATAAGCTCAGGCTCCATAAAAGTTGATCTGTCCCTGGTTGCTACTTCTTGTACTACCCATTACTCTGTCCTTTCAAATCCTATACTCTCCAAAATTAAATTTAAGTCCTGCCGCGTGAGTCCTTCTATGATTATCTCAACAGAAATTCACCTCTCCCTTCTCTGAGTTTCCACTTCACTTATTTGCTAAACAACTTCAAAATCTCATTTCCAAATGCTTGAGGTCAGTTGAGTTTTGGAGCTTCAATTTTTGTGTATATTATGGTTCATAAACTATATAGCATGTAATGGTGCATAAATCATGTATTATGTAACACTATCCATTACGGTCTCAGGTAACACTGCATAATCAACCATATTAACACATCTTCATCAAAATACATGAATATTCACACAAAGTGTTATAAATAAAGGCTATAAATAACCAGTTTGGGACATAACTAACACAAAATGAATTATAAAAGAACTTTCAATTTTCAGAGATTTGGGATTTCAGAATTATAGCCAAAGGATCATAGACCTGAACACTATTTTGTCATTATTTTATGTCCCAACGGCTAGGTTTTACTTGACCAAAATGGCTCTTCGGCTCTATATCCCCAGCGGAAAGTATCTGGCATGTACGTGGGTTTTCAAAAAATGTGATAGAATAAATGAATGAAAGAAGTAAGTCTCACATGAAGTAGAGCTTGTCAAAGAAAAAGATTGTATCTTTTTTAGTTGACATCCCCAACACCAAGACCTGTGCCTGGCACTCAGTGAATGCTCAGTAAATGCTGATTGAGTTGAATCACACTTCTCAAATCCCTCATAATGACTACCAAGGATAATTAGTACCCAATAAACACTTCACAATTGATCTCAATTTCGCTGACTTAAAAAGTCAAGATTGATTTCCACAAGGGAGGGAAAACATGGGTTGGAGGATATGGAGGGAGCGGTAGGAGAAGGAGTCTAGACATAGCAAAAATTTGTGGAGTGTTAATAGAGAAGAGTATTTCATGAAGACCTTGAACTATGCAAGAAGGATGCCACACACCTTAAAAATTCTGGAGCACTTTTCTTAATGTCGAGTATTCTCTGGACAACACCCTCTTTCCTGAGTCCCTGCATGCCGCAGAATCCTCAGCATCACATTTGTAGTTACAAAAACATTGTCTTATTCCACTTTGGGTAGTTTCAGACTTTTATAAAGAGTTGAGGTTAAAGGTCACATGATGGTAGATGCTGCCACCTGGCCTGCTGTACTCTGAATTAAACTTTTCTAAATCAGAGGTTCTCAATGTAATAGTTTGTTAATTTTTCAACAACATACATTGTAGTTGGCAATGATTGTTTAAAAATATTTTATGTCCTCAACCCATAGTTACCACATCCTACTTTGCACCTTGTTATCAGGAAGAGAAGGGATGTAAGTAGAGTTTCTATACTTTCTTCACTTAGGCACCAAGAGCATGGTATAAAATCTGATTTATAGATGTTATCTATACACACAGGTAGTCATATGTATAAGTATACTAGCTTTAGTAATACAATATATAATAATATAGCTTTATAATGAAATAAATTTTTATAATATATAATATAGTTTGTAAAGCTTATATGTACATGTATATATACATACATATATACACATCTTATTATTACTAAAAATAAAGCTTCCTCATCTATGAAATGGAGATAATACTAGTAAATACTTCATGAGGTCATTATGAGAAGTAAATGAATTAATACATGCTAAACACTTAGAACAGTTCCTAATACATAATACACACTCAATAAATATCATCTGTATCATAATTACTATTATTGTACCTATTATAAAAGAATTTCTCATTTGTAAACATTATTTGCTAGAGAGTATCTTAAAAATTTAGTTTCTTCAATGCACTATTTTAAAAAATTATCAATATCTATTTTCCAATGCAACTTTCAGAAAAAAAAATTTCTTACTAAAGTGGCATATTATCTTTCTTAGAAGACCATTTGAGTATGTAATAATAAATGTACCATAAGTCAAATCATATACTCCTGCAGAAATAAAAACAAGCTGTAATTCAGAATCATAGCAGCAATTATTTTATACCCTAGGATCTTCTTGATTCCTCGGTGACAGTACTATAAATAAATATATTATTAATTTCCTAAAATTGGCACTAGTAATGTTTAATTAAGCATCATTTTTAGATATAATGGCATTGGGAAACATTTAACTACATTTACTTTGATGCGTTTGTGTCAAATTCTAGTACCAAAGTAGATGTCATTCAGAAGGACTTGAACACCTGTAGCCCATAACTGTGACAGCAAAGGCGGAAACACTCTTCACTCATCACTATCTAACCATGGTCAGCGCTGGACCAGCTAACCTTCTCCCCATTATGTGCAACCAAAATGAGGAAAAAATACCGAGACAGCTCATTATATCCCTCCAAGGAAGAGCAATTTGTGTGTTTGTTTGTTTTTATCAAGGGCTGCTTTCTTCACTTCTTTGACAAGAAACCCTTATTTTGAACCCTACCAGTTTACACAAATTTTGGTAGATTTAGAATAGAGTCTTGAGCAACATTTTCTCAAGTGTGTTCTATAGGACTCGTACTGCAAGATATTAATAGGTGTTATTTAAATACACACACACACACACACACACACACACACACACAAATACACACATATGTCAGAGTTCCCTGATCAAAGAAAGTTGGGAAATACTAAGTTAAACAGAGTTAATCAGGTTTTTTTATTGTGGAGTTTCCTGGAATCCTTAATATGGTACTGTGACACTCTAAGAGGGCACATACTAAGCCCCATCTCCCAGACATATTTATCTATAGACTTTTCATCTCACACAGCATCTTTCTAATTTTAGTGTTTCATTGAACATGATTTGGGAAACCACTTTAGAATATGGTATGTCACATACTTTATATCTTTGGCTCTGCCCCTTTTCTAAATTCTGAACAGAATTGCTTCTTCTATATTGTATTTTTAGTAAATTCACTATTCTGCACTTCAATGAGGGAATCCATTTATCATATCAAAAACATTTTCTACTTCTGAAATTGAGAATTACTTAAAGCAGTGGTTCCCAACTCCCGGGCCACAGACTAGCACCGGTGCATGGTCTGTTAGGAACTGGGCTGCACAGCAGGAGGTGAGTGGAGGGCAAGCGAGCCAAGTTACATATGTATTTACAACCAATCCCCAGTGCTAGCATTACTGCCTCAGCTCCACCTCAGATCACCAGGCATTAGATTCTCACAGGAGCACCAGTCCCTGGTGCCAAAAAGGTTGTGGACTGCTGACTCAAAGCAATGATTTCTTGATCTGACAAAAAAAAAATCAGTTGCACTAACGCATAATTAAATAGGAAATTATAAGATCTCAGAATTAAAATTTTACATAAAAACCCATGAGTTTGGCCGTACACTTTTTTCCAACCAAATGGCAAGAAGTTGAACTTATGGCTGTTATATGACTTTGGTGAGCAGATGCCATTATATCCACAGGAAACCACTATAATCACCACTGATAACCTGTACGCTCTCTTATAATAAAATCATGAATAAATGAAAATAACATTTATTATAAAATCATATTACTTTGGAACAAGAAAAGCTCTAAAGTTTGGAGATACCTTTTTTTTCTTTAAAGTGCATTACTCCTAGAGAATGCTAATATTTAAAAGAAATCGAATCATCCTCAAAGGCCTGAATCAACTCCCAAATGTTAAACAGTAACATTTCATTCCTACAGAAACATTGAGACTTAAATTTGAACTTTAGACAATGTTAAGTCTTAAATATAGCCATCATATACATATATATATATATATACCACACACACACACATATATAAATTTGAACTGAAGGGGGAAAATGCAGTAGGATTTACAACTTGGTTGAGTCCAACCAAGCCCGTGGGAAAATTTCAAGGAATTTGAGTAAATATGGATGTATTGGTCACATTGATTTGTATTTCTCAATGTTGAAAAAATACTACATTAAACAGAATAAAAAAAAAAAAAACCCATAAAATCATTTGATAAAGTCAGTTTCTGCTTGCATCATAGGGA